AGAAATATTGAGAGGACAATTGTATGCAGCAAATTCTTTTTTGTGTGGGTTGTTATCACTCTGCTCTGTCATATTCTTGCGTTGATGGCAGTTTTTGCTAACTGTATTCTGCGTCTAATTTCTATTTTACAATTGCCTTTGTCGTTTATGGTTGATCTTAGATAAACAAAATCATGAACCACTTCGACACCATTAAGCCGAAAAGATCCTTGTAGGGTTTTCCCTCTACCCAAGAACATTAATTTCGTTTTTTGACGTTGATAGTCCCATCTCACCACTTTGATTTTCTACTCGCAACAGTAGACTCGCCATTTCTTCTTTACTCATCGCAATTAATGTTGTGCCGTTTGCAAATCGCAAGTTATTGATTTTAGCTCCTCCCACACTGATAACCTCCATCCCAGTTTTCCAGAGCTCTCCGCATAATATATTTCCCATATATATTAAAGAGGATGGGTGAGAGTATACACCCCTGTCGGACGCCTTTATGTATTTGAAAGTGTTCAGACATGTGTTCATCCATTTTTACCATCGCTGTGATATTAGTATATAAGCTCTCGATCAATGCTACAAGATGTTCGGATACCCCCATTTCTCTTAAAATCCTCCAGAGCTTTATCAATTTGACGCAATCAAATGCTTTGTTGTAGTCCACAAAGCAAATGGCAGCTGGTATATCAAATTCTCTGCACTTTTCTATCAGTTGTCGCACATTGGTTATTTGTCCACGGGTACCTCTGCCTGTGACAAATCCTGCTTGTTGTTTAGGTATTTGGGAGTTGAGGTAATATTTTAAACACTCATTTATTAAATTTAGCATTAGAAATGATGGTTTATAAATACTCATATTGCTCGTTTTTCATTATTGGTTTGCCTTAAAACATAATCATTACTTAACTGACCGATATTATTTAACAACAAAATTATAAAATCTGATGGAGTATTAAAATTATGGCATAGCCAGTTAGTTATTTAAATTACTTATACATATAGTTTATTCATATTTATTTAAAGATGATCTAAAATCTAAAATTGTAAAGTTATACGTTTCACAATTTTATTAAGAACTTTTAAAACTAATATTTAAGAAATTATTACCTACCACCCGTGTTTCGTATTAAAGAAAATTATTATGCAAACATACATGGAATGAAAGCATTACTACCTGAGTCACGTCTTCTGTAAACTAAGCTTTCAGGAAAAAAGCGTTTACTGCGTACTGCACTCACCAATTTATTCATATTTTTATAAATAACTCAACAGCATAAGAATGTTTGCTGCATATATACATATGATAAAATTTTGTATTTTGCATACGTGTGCTCTCTAATATACATAAGTTTATCTCAAATTTTTAATATTTTGTTATTCATTTCATAATAACATGACAGTATACCCAGGACGCAAAAAACCATGATTTAAAAAAAATAATAATTTTTTTTATTTTAATCGGATTTTTTTGATTTTAATTAGTTTTCTATTTAAATCGGATTTCTAACTAATTAACGACTTTCCACATCGGTCACCGATATATTTTATTCTGTAAACTTTGCCAATGTTTCTATTTTCGCAAAGAAAATCGCCCGCTTATATCAAAAGGACCTGGATTTTTTTTATTTCATTTTTATTAAAAATTATTGCCTCCAAAATAGAATATTCTAGCACACTTGCTTAAAAATGTATAATAAAGAATATTCCTATGAAGCAAAAAAATATATAGGGATCATTTTATTATGTATGCGTAAAAAACAAGCAACAAATTTTGACTAAGTAATATATCATTCAAGGAAATATATAATATACTAGCGTGTACCAGCGACTTCGTTTGCGTCGAATTAATCATTTGTAACGATGATGATAAAGCAAAGCAAGAATTTCCATTAACATACAAACTGGATAAAATTTTCTCACATTTATGGCAGCCTGAGAAAAAACAATATGACGATATTATTATATAACTTGGTAATATTTGAAGGGTAGTTTCATCTCGTTGGAATTTGACGTTCGAAAAATCCGTTTGCCAAAAATAAGCTTTTTACGTCAAGCAGTTTAAGCAGAATCGTGATTACTCATTTGTCATATTTTATGAAACACCCTGTATAAATTTATAAAATATCTTAAAATATGTAAAACAACAAAATAAAATATACGTGTTTAAGAGTTTTTCCGAAAAACTCACTGGTTTTTAAATAAAAAATATTTTAATATTTGAGGGATAGTTTCACCCCCTTAGAATTCGAGTTTCGAAAAATCCCTTCTTATCGAACCTCTACACCCTAGAATTAACCTGTATGCCAAAATTGAGCTTCTTACGTTGAGTGGTTTGAGCAGGATCGTGATTAATCAGTATGTCAGTCACTTAAGGCTTTTATACATTAGTATACAGGCCCGGCAATTGATCTCTAGGCATAGGAATTACATGCATTGGAATGAAACGTCTATAAAAAGTCTATGCTTAAACAGAGATGGACAACAACTTCCCCGTTTCCACTTCCACTACGACTGTCTACTTAGACAAACTCCAATAAGATAACAAATTTTGGAAATTCCGCCACCTCCCATCCACTCATGATACCCATCCCTGCCCTTTATTTATCGCCATTATTTTATTTCACAACTCGCTATTCCATCTCCCGTCAGTTCATCACAGAGTTGCCAGGTCTACCGGTTTCGTCTGTAAGCTACCGATTTAAAGAAAAATCTAACGATTTGTTCAACTGCGTCTTTAGTTTTTACAATAGAAGCACTTTTAAAAAGCTGACTTATTTGACTAAAAATTAAGCGACTGCCGCGATGGAATCTGTATAATCTGACTTTATTATTGTTTCATTAAATTTTATTTAGTAATAACACACATACAGGTCATCGTTCTGTCTAGTTGCAGAACAAAATAAAAACACTAAATCACCACAATACACCAAAACACTTTTACTTTTACACTGGACGCGCGTTTCGCTAACCATGTTAGCATCATCAGCAAATTGCCAGTTTATAATCATCTGCTGATGATGCTAACATGGTTAGCGAAACGCGCGTCCAGTGTAAAAGTAAAAGTGTTTTGGTGTATTGTGGTGATTTAGTGTTTTTATTTTGCTGTGTAACACCAAAGGTTCCAACCCTCAACTGTAATAGTTGCAGAATTACAGAGATATTCCTAAAAATCCTTATTACTCCTTATTAGGCGCGGTATTGGCGACATGCCCGAAGAAGTTGATATCTTTTGAAAAGATTTTGTTTCAAAGTTGAACCCATATTTTCGCCAACAAAATGTAAACAAAAAACAAAATTTAAGTTAAGAAACAACCTAAATTCGGACGAATATTTTAGCGATTTTCCTGTCAAAAAATATATTAATATGAAAAAAGAGTTGAGAGTTGCTACAGCTTTCCCATTGAAATGAAATTAATTTTAGATATCACTGATCAAAATTTGTACAAAGGTAAAAAGTGACTGCTACACTAATTTGTGACTGCTGTCCCTACTTGTGATAGTGTTATATGTTTTTATTAATAATTATTTAATATTCAATATTTTTTTTCATATCAAATAATATACCTAGCTATTTCTAATTCTTGTTATATTTATTATATTTGTATTTTATTTGAGTGATCTATTATTACGACACATAGGAATGCTAATTTTGGACTTAAATATTATATTTTATTTTGTTTCTGTACTTTGGATTTTTGTTGAAGATCTACCGAGAATTTTGTTCTCGTATGGAATTATACTCTAACAAACCCGGCTACCCTGTTCAGCTACTTCTTAGAAAGTTTTTGCGGCCTAATTCCTTTGTCATCGCCGCCGCCGACCGACGGTGTCGGGGCGACTGCTAGGAAGATCGTACAGTGTTGCCATTTCATAGAATTGCACTTGCTATTTTAGAAATGATTTCAAAGTTTTGCATGTTACTTTTTGTTTTAGAAAGAAGTTATTTGCCTAGAGAAAACATTCTTAAAATTGTTTCGTACTTTATTTAATATTTCATTAAGCAGACAAGATAATGGGATTAGAAGATTTGGGATTTGGGATAAGCCAATATAATTTCGATTTAATAGAATGGCAACACTGTCACTCCTGTTTCTATTTTTTCGATTCTATTCTATTAATAGGCGGTCGCCCCCACACAAGCGTCTTAAAGACCCGCCCGGCGCCCCCGAGGCTCTCTCGTCGTATCACTTCTATGATCAATTCCCGTATACGATGGTAGGGAAAAGACACTTTATCCGTCTCTATTGCACTGCAGTGTATTTTGCAGCCTTACCATCTTTTTTATCGCATTGAAAACCTCCTATTGCTAATGTTCCTTTGCCAGCAGTGAAGATTTCAGAAATCTTCCTAAGGCTTAGCCCAATTCTGTCGTGTTAATCCATACTCAAAATTCCAAACCCACGTGCTTTGATTAAGGCTTGATTAAGGTTTGCAGAACTTCAGCATTTGCCATAAAACAACCAGCAATTTGTTACAAAACCATATAAATTATTTATCACTGTAATCAAAAAACTTCAATCTATTTCCGTATTATAGCGGAATTTTAAATTATGTCTTTATTTTCGAGAAAATTTAGTCCAAAAATCAGGAATATTTTGTTGATGTTTGACCATCAAAATCTTAAAAATAGAGAAGTTGTCTAAAATGTGCTACAATACGGATATAGTATAATCCTTTATCTTTAATTTCCTTTTTTATTTTTGTAAAAATACCTAGCCAGTTTTACATAAAACGTTAAATGCCGAACGCTTGTTTTGCTACTTTTTCAGACTAGTGAAATGGACTCTTAAGGTAAAATAGGGTTCATTTTCTAAATGAATTTTGTGTCTGGATAGTTCACTGAAACCGGTATTACGTTATTACGTATAATTCGTATCAATTCAGATATCAATGCCCCTTTTTCCTTCTCATTGTGCATCGATAGCAAACAGTTAATTTGGCGTGAAAACGTCCTAAACGGATGACGGTACGCTACAGCGACGCCAAAGTTCAATTTCTGGAGAATTGGGTGCGTGTCAAGAGCCTCTTCGGGATAATTGCCCCATAAAAATACCATTTGGGACCGGGGCAGCAGGTAGCGGGAAGGGCATTGAAATTAATTTGGCGTGAAGGTCTCACGGCTCTGGCTGGACCGGACATTTGGCAGATTCTTTCTTCCTCGTTAGCTGGCATGGATAAAAAATAAATAAAACAGTTTATATGCATTAGGTATGTTATGGTTTAGTTTAATTTGAATACGGGTTGATAATATGGTATTGACTCATAGACTCGTTACTTGCTTCACCATACATTACTTTCCCGTTTGCACCCGCCAATCAAAATCCGTTTAATTCCCAGTGCCCGATTTCGACCGAAAAGAGCTTTCGTGTAACATCGTATTTGAAAAGGTCCGCGCCGTTTTCGATCAGCTGACTGGGAAATTTTACCGTTCAAGTTGGTTAATTCGTTTAATTTAATATTTAATCCATATTTAATCGTTTGCTAGCCTTTCTGGGTGTTTGAACGATTTTATATACGGTCACTACTATTTTCCCGTCAATTTGTGTTTCATATTAGTCTTGTTTTTACATATTATTATACATATTCAAGGATATTAGTGTGGTTTAATATCTTTTTAATAACTAATTTGTTCTGATTTTGGTGCTTTTCATCTTTATTTTGTCATATTATAGGTGTAGGTACATAGTTTGTGAATTTGTCTTGGAATTAGAATTTATCACTGAGCAAAAAAGTACCTATATTGCCTTAAGGGATTAATTAAATATGGATTCGGCAAGGTATGTTATTTGTGCAGTTAGGGTTAGGATTAGTACATTTATTGTATTTTGTAGCAATAACAAATTAACTTGCCCTTATGCAAAATGGTGTTTGCCAATACATTCACAAAGAATAGACATGTAAGTAAGTTACATCCAGAAGAAGAAACAACAAGGAAGAAGCACATCAAATGTCCTATATGTCCAAATGAAGAGAATTTTTCGTTCCATGATTGTTTAATTAAACATTTAAGTACCATACATAATCTGAATATTCAACAATCTGTTTTTATTTTAGAAATCTTGAAGAGTTTACAGCTTGGATGTCGCTGGATAATAAAGAAGGAAACTATGCTTGTCATGATAGACAAAAACATGCTAGTGGAGAAGAGACTATATTATATAACTGTAACAGAAGCAATTCTAAAGGTTGTAGACTTATTTATGTTATACAAATATTTCATTGTTAATAAAATTCATTCTTAGGATTTGTTAGTTCATGCAGCAAACGTAATATGAAAACTGGAGGTAGTATTCGTATAAATGGGACCTGTCCTTCACGAATTTTAGTGAAAATAACTACAGATGGTAATCATGGTATTTTTTGTGTCTAATACCTACCTAATGATTAAAAAATACAGGTCAAATTCAAGCCAAATTTTTTGAAACGTGGGCCATACAGATAAGTTGAGAACAAAGCGATTGTCGAAGGTGGAACAAAGTATTATTGTGGGACAATTATCAGCAGGGGTATCAAATGACAGAATAATTCAAGATGCGAGAAAAAACATTCAAAATAATAAAGTTGAGAGGATAAATTTAGTAACAAGAGGAGATTTGGCATATTTGATTCCCAGGTACAACATTGATAAGAAGAGAGATAATGATGATATGACAGCTACAGCCCTAAAAATTGAAGAATGGAATAAACAAGGAAATAACCATGTATTTTTATTTAAGAAAATTGGTAATTAAATCAAATGTTGATTAGTGTTAATTAAAAGTTTTAAAAGAAGGTTATATTATTATAAGATGTTTATTTAATTTCAGGTGAAAATTATCCAGTTTTAAAAGATGAAGATTTTGCAGTGGGGTATATGAATGCTGTTATGGAAAAAAGCTGCTGGATTTTAGTCGCATCACATGTATTGACAGCACCCATGGAACAAACAGGAAAAATTTTAATTTTACTGTTATTTGAATTAAGGATGAACATAATTTAGGATTTCCAGTGGCGTTTTTGCTTTCCAACAGGTTGGATCAGATAATTCAAGAAATTTTTTTTAGGGCTCTTTTAACAAACCTAGGTAAACCAATTGATGCAGAATATATTATGAGCGACAATGACCCGAAATATTATGGGGGTGATGGTTATATAATTATTAGTAAATGGTTGTTACGTTAGGTTGTAATATAGTAAATTTAAAAATAACATTAATCAGTGTAGACAGAGCAAAAAGAGGAACATTCAGAGGCAAACATTATCCAGGGGAGAAAATATATGTTTTGTGTTTCACCTTCACCATTTTTAATAAGTTTTATATAATTTTGTTTTTATGTATATATTAAGTTTTTATTTTTAGAACGGGTGATGGTTATATAATTATTAGTAAATGGTTGTGGTTATTATTATTAAAAAATTGTTTTGAGAGGTTCATGGCTCAGAATGTAGTAAATTTAAAAATAACATTAATCAGTGTAAACGCTGCATAGAGAGGAACAATCAGAAGCAAACATATTATTCAGAGAAGAAAATATATGTATTATTTTTCACTATTATGAGTAACTATTATTATACTCTTTAATTGTTTTTTATGCATATAAGTTTTTATTATTTTTAGAATGGGTGATGGTAATCTGCTTGTTAAGTTTTTAGGATTTTGGAAAAACAGATTATGACTAAAATTTGATATAGTTTTTAATTATGTATTTAAAATAGTCTTTTCTCATATAACTACCACTACTGTTGTTATCTGTGTTAGGTATATTGATATTTTATTGGTTACGGTTTTGCTTCAATATATTTTCTTAAATATTATTTGTCATATCTCTGTACTTATTATATTTTGGGCTGACAAGGTTTGGTTTATAAATATATGTTTGAAATAATTTAGTTGTATAAATATCACTGTAGTTTGTATTCATGTCTTTATTACTAACAGAAATAAATTTTATCAACAAATTCTAATCTTGTGTTTTTCACCCTCATTCATGCTAAGCCTATTTATGTATGTTAACATTTTTGTTAATACATTATGGACCACAAAATAAATAATGTAAAGTTCTTTAACCAAAATGAAACATTACAAAATTTTTGCAATAAATGTAGGTAAATACAGTCTCTTCGGTAATATTATTAATCTAGGTTCTGCTACCTACTTTAAAATTTAGAAATAAAAAACTTCTAATATAGATATATATCTATCTTAAAATTTACAGGAATTTGTTTTAAAAATTATAAAGATACTGCAGAATCAAAAAAAGGCAACTCAAATATTGACACAAATTATTTGAAAAATGGCTGTAGTATCTCCTATGGGTATATCTAAAAGTAAATATAACACACTCCTGATCTCTACATAAACCAACATATTAATTATATGTAAACGAATAAAATAATGATTACGTATAGGTATAGCTTTTTTAAATTGCACTCTCCCATTTTTCTGTATTTTAATGAAATAAAATATATAGTTATCTTTTGAAAAACAACAATTCTACGTCAAACGTATTTTCATGGAAAATTTGTCCATTTTTTTAATTAATATTAAAATAAATACATTTTAAATTTCAGAATCTATTTTCTAAATTGCGCAAAAGTGTATAAAGCTATGGTATAAATAATCTCCTCATTTTCAAATAACGCGGGAAATTTGCTCCGCCCCCATTTGTGCTGAAACGATTTGATTGGCGGGTGCAAACGGGAAAGTAATGTAAGGTACTTGCTTCCAGTTTTAATTTTTGAATGCAATGTTTTCAGTACAGATTTTTTAGATTTGCAGCTCATATACCTTTTATCAGATAGTTGGGTGCTTTATATGATTTTTAACCCTCATTATACTCTTTAAGTTACCACTATACAGGGTGGTCCGAACTGTATTCCGGAAACTTCGGCAGCAATTTCTGCAGATAAAATAAGTAAAAAAGTTCGTATAAAATGTATGTCCTAAAATGGCTTAGTTTCAAAGATGCACGGTGTAGAAGTTTCATTTTTATTTCGATATTTTCCAAATAATTACTGAAGTAACATCAATATTTGGATGAAAATTGGTGTCTCGAGGGTTTTTTGACATGAGAAATTTGATTTTGATGTCAATGTCTCCTACTTCTAGAGGGCGCCACCTACATATTTTTAACTGGTTTGAAGAGTAATAACTTTTCGTCCGTACCTGTATAAAACCACTAAGTGAAAAAATATACATTTCCGTTACTTTTTACGTATAAAATGTCTCTTGGTAAAAATTGCTACGAGCAATAGTTCTCGATATATTTGGAATCGAAATTATCAATACCTATCATCATTGACAAATTAAACATGTTGACTAAATATTTATTAGACTGAAATCATAAATTTGATATGTTTTTGTGCTAAAATTTCAACAAAAACTGCTTTATCATCATTTTTTCGAAGAAAAATTTGTAATTAATTAAAAAAAAATCCAAATTTATTATTTCAATCAAATAACTATCTGCTCAACGTATTTATTTTTTGTCAATAAATTTAATGAATTTAAATTAATTTCCATTCTAAATATCTTGAGAACGGTTGCTCGTGAGAACGGAGTCGAATTTTTACCAAGAGACATTTTTTACGTAAAAATTCATGGAAATGTATATTTTTTTACTTAGTAGTATTATACAGGTACGGACGAAAAGTTATTACACTTCAAAACAGTTAAAACACATGTAAGTGGCGCCCCCTACAAATAGAAGTCATAATATTGACATCAAAATCAAATTTCACATGTCAAAAAACTCTCAGACACTAATTTTCATCCTATTATTGACGTTACTTCAGAAATTATTTGAAAAAAAACCGAAATAAAACTAAAATTTCCACACCCTGTCCCTGTATCTCCGAAACTAAGCATTTTAGGACATACATTTATACGAACGTTTCTACTTATTTTTATCTGCAGAATATGCTGCCGAAGTTTCTGGAATACAGTTCGGGCCACCCTGTATATTATTAAGAACAATAATTAGTAAATGTAAGAAATATTAATAAGAATTAATTCATGAAAGAAACTATGCTTGTTTTAGGACGAATCGCAGTAGATATTCTGTAACATCGGAAAAGGGATTGACATTAAATATAAATAAATTAAGTAGTTCTTAATATCAATAATAAAAATAAAATTATGCATGACTGCTATATGGAGGTAATGTAATTATAATAAAGAGTACCAAAGAGAATGAAAATGTTTGTCTTGAATAATTCATTAATAATTAATCATCTATCTATATGATAGTCGCTGTCTATTCATGGCACCAATAGCTATGGAATGGAAATGTTAAAGAATTAAAATTCTTTAACTCTAAAGTAATGCTTATTATACTTAAATTAACTCATAACTAAAGTACCGTATATTCGAAAAAAAAACGGCGTCCAGTTGGCTGGGAAATGACGATCGATGACATCCCATATAAATCCATACTAATACTAGCGTGTACCAGCGACTTCGTTCGCGTCGAATTAATCATTTCGTCCCCTATCTCACATACTGACGTAACTCGCAATTAATAATTTTTTCAGGAGAAGAGAAAATAAAAAATTACCTGTATTAAACCTGTTGTAGTTTTTATACCTGTGAGAGAACAGATAGGAAATTCTGAGGTTATGAGGCATTTATATGTTGTTACCTTGTTTCATTATTAGACACCTGTTTTTTTTCTTAGTTTTTGTGTTTTTTTGGAAAATATGTAGATACGTCATTTTGTGAGATTTTTTTTATTGGCATGTTGGATATGTCATATTACTTTTTTGTAGGTGAAGTCATTATTAGAAAAAAAACTATGTAAGTTGTATTTTATTCTAAAGTTCAAGTAAGAAAACAAGTTTTTAACAAATCTAATATTGGTAACTAAAATTTCTATAAAAATATTTCATTAAACTCAAAACTAAGTGCGCTAATGCAATGTTTGTTTCATGCAGTATTATGTGGTAACGACAAATAAAACTGCTGAAACTCTGGTTGCCTTATGACAGGTGTAAGTCCTGAGCACAGCGCAACCAAGTCTTCGTATTTATTCTTGGCAATCTTTGGAGGTTCACTGTTTAAAGAAGAAACCGTAAGATCACAATATCTAAATCTTTTTAAGGTAATGCTATCGTATTCATCTTGGACATGACTAGTTTTCAGAAAAATTTTCTTTGGTTCATTCCTGTTAACCATTATTTCCATAATATTTGGCCATTTTATGTTTTTGCCATTATCGGTTTCTCTTACGCTTAAAACGCGAAGTTCCTTCGATAACAATTTAAAAGCTTTAAAATCGGTATAATTCATTACTATAACCTTATAGGGATGCTTTCTTCGGGCCAATTTAATGACAGGATACAGCTGAGATGGGATAAAAATATCGCCGGCACCAGATATTGCTGTAGAAATTGCGCTGTGCGCCGAGTCGCCCTCATTTTGACCGTGGTTCGTCTCGAAATATCGAAGAGAAACTTCTTGGATACTCTGCAATCTTGATAAGGAATAAAGTAACATTGCAGCCACAATACTATTTTTGTTCTGTCCATAGCAGCCGTCAGCAAATAAACAGACTCTTTCAATTGACTTTTGGTTATACTCCTCTAACACTTTAAATATGCATGAGGCAATCTCAGAAGATCCACGTTTGCTAACAGATTCGTTCCAAACAAAACAGAAACAGTCTTTACTTGCTACATCATAAAACGTGAAATTAAAATTTGACAGTCGGGATTTATAAAAAATTGCGCTTTCTTTTGATATTGGGACGTAGATGACTTGTTGTAAATCAAAGACACCGCACAATACTTTTTTATTTTGTATTGCTTGCTGTTTGCATTCTGTTTTTTTTTGCCGAGCTGCCGTTTTTTCAGTAATGTGGGAATCATATCGTATTTTTAGATTTTCTTTGGCTTGTGCATCTCCTTCTAAATATGTGAGGCAAAGGGAACATTGGTCTTTTTTGGGAGACAAAAAAGATAAATTTTGCTCTTTAAAAACTCTCCTGTATGTATGGTAACTGCATTTAAGTTTACTTCCTAGCGACTGGAGATCATCAAGAAACATAAAAAACATTTTATGTAAAGTGAGGTCGGGATGGAGATACATTTTCGAGGTCTTGGCTCTACAAAAGTGCGACTCAACTTTTGGAAATCTATTTATGTGTTCCTTTATCTTGAATCTCATACTTTCTTCCATCTTCTTAGTTTCTTTACTGCGTTGTCGGCCACCCCTCTTATCCTTTTCCATTACACCGACTTCGTTTAGCTTAACAAGCGCTGTACGACACATTCTTTCGCTGATACCAAAAGTCGATAGAAATAGTTTCTTACAGACAACAACAGGTTTTTTGTTTATGGTAAGGGTGTAGATTAT